AAATACGGTAAGCAGCATCTTTCGGCCGACCGGTCTATACTTCGGTCGACCAAAGTATTTTTGCTTTGAAAGTTAATTTTTACATCAAAATGTTCATTTTTCAAAAACTTATTTTCATGTCAAAAACTTCTTTATGCAAGTGATGAATTTATGAGAAATAGTTTGAGCTTTAAGCATTTGCTAAAATTGATGAGTTATACCTTTATATATAAATTGAAGTTTCGATAGATTTCTAAAACTGTAATATTCAAAGTTCTTGTTCTTGTTCTCTTTTGATTGTTTGTTCTTCAACGAACGACGATTTCAGCATTTGANAGAAGATTTATTCATGAAAAACTCAATAAACAAGACTTGTTAGAAATATATGTGAATTGTTTGTTATAATCAAAACAAATGGAGTTATATTAAATCATAGGTCAACACAATGAAGTTGTGGACGCCAGTGATGATGAACTGACCAATGATGATATTGCTTTAGAGTTAACTGACATGAATTAGCCAGATAAGATTGAAAATCTGCCTGCTTCCAGGCTCTTACCAAAATACATAGTTCTTTTCAAAATTTTGATCCATAACCTTGATCCACTTACTCACTACTCTGATCTGTCTCATAAGAGGGTAGTAATGTTTTTTTAAACTGGGTACAAAAGTTGGGCTGGACTTGATTAAGTGGATATTTGAAAGAATTGTATATAAGGGACCCACGAGAGCAAAGCAGTACAAGCTGCCACACCCTAGTTTGGTCCACCATTTCCTGGTTGATTTTGAAATTCCTGATAAGCCTACTGAGAGACATTCTATAAAAATATCTACCTTAGGGTGTTAAAATTTGCTAACCTAGATGGAATGCTTAATCCGATTCCCAGAGTTCCCAGACATGTGCTGCCCACAAAAAATTCTTAACAGGCTAGAAATTTTTGAGGGACAGTTCAAAGTAGTAAAGAATCAGGTGGGCCAAATTTTCTTGAAAACTCAAAAGTTTGTTATTGATTTTAAAGTGATTTGTAGGACTTTAGAGAAACTTGTGTACCTGGGTGATGGAAGGATCAAGATGCATGGTTGAAAAGCACTCCAAGCTTCCCTGACTATCAACCTGAGGAGCCACAGGAACTTCTACTGCCCCAAATGCCACTGCTAGTCCTACACATGCTGCATCCGCGGCACAGGGTTCTTACCTCCCTCTTGTTGGGAATTTACTTAATCATGCACAGCGGAATTATAACAATTTTCAATTCCCACCAAGGATCTGCAATGTGTTTAGACAGAAACTGTGATTAG